ATATATATATATATATATATATTGTTGTGCTACTCACTGAAATTGGACTTTTGAGTGAATTTGCCAATTCCTATTAAAGCTAGTACATCCTACTGTATACATTGTTTAGTATATATCAGGTTTTGCGGTCTGACCTGAATCCGCACTTTGGATTGGCAGAAATTCAACCAGAACGAGATTTGATTGGCTGAGGCGGTTCCTTTATTCATTCCCTTGCAACATTCAATGCTACTGGCGTCTCCAGTTTCGAATAATCGATTTTGGACTATATATATATATATTATTTGATGAATAAAACGCGTGGTGGGCGTGTTGTAGTATATGTTTGGCTCATATTTTGTGCCGGGTAGTGACACTAAACTTCGGTCACCCGACTACAAAGCGACGTCCCCTGACGACGCTGTCACAGATTTTCGCAATCGGATTGCAATGTATCGCAAAAACTACGAGGCATTGGGAGATGCGGACGAGATCTTTTCGTATGTGAAAATGATTGACGCGGGAACCAAGGTACTACTGATATATTATATATATATATATATATATATATGGTCTTGTATGTAGTTGATTATGAACCGCATCCACGGGTACCTTCCGATGAAGATCCTGTCGTTTATCAGCAATTTGCACATTGTGCCACGACCAATCTACATGACATGTCATGGCGAGAGCGTCAACTCGGTCGTCCAGCGTCTCGGCGGTAGGATTATCTATATATCAACTATTATTCACGACGATGGATTTGGTTTGAGATATATATATGTCTCCTTGAATCGTTGATTGGGCCGATGATGCGATATATATATATCCGCTGGTGTTGTTTTAGTTATCAAAATCGGAGCATGCACGTCGATGGTTTGAGATGTGCGATATATATATTATATATATATGTATAATCCGCTTGAATTGTTGTTTATTCTATTTATAAATATATATATATATTATTTATTCAGGCGTTTCTATATATATACTGTATCCGTCTTTTTCAGTTATCAAATACTTGGCAAATGTAATATCATCTCATATTTATGCTCTGGACTTGTAGGCGATTCGGACCTGACGCCTCGCGGCATCGCCTTTAGCGAGTATGTAAGGCTCTATATATATCTCATCACTTTTTGTCTTTACCAACACATTGTGTTTGATGATGGCAGCTGCTGCTATTTATGTTTTGTAATATTTACGTTTTCTTGAGAAATATATATATATATCAATTTGCATCGTAATGATTAGTATATATATTTTAAAATATATAGGGCCTTGGGTCAGTTTGTCGCACAGAACGTGTCCAAGGACATGTCATTGTGGTACTCAACGGCCAAATGCGCGCGGCAGACGGCGGCGGCCGTCCCGAGCGACGTGCGGGTGCAGTGGCGGGCGCTGCGGGGCCTCGAGGCGGGCATGTATAATGCACTCACCAAGACCGAGTTTCAGCTACACCATCCCACGTACATATATATATATATATCACACTCGTTTTCCTCGTCTATTTGTATATATATATATGGTGCATTTCACCCAAATTTGGATGTGTGAGGAGTCCTAGCATTCGCATCCCTTTGATACCATTGAAGCTTGTACAAACTATACGATACAAAGATTCATATATAATATTTATATTTGGTTTACCCGTTTATAAAAAAGATGCGTTTAAGAAATATATTTAAAAAATAAGAAAAAAAAATTTTTTCAAATAAAAAATAATCAAAAAGAAATTTCTTTATTCAAATTTAATTTTTCTAATACGATTTTATATAATTCACATTAAATATATTTGTTTATAATAAAATAAACATTTTTTTTATTTTAAAATGAATGAACTTCCATAATGTGACAGTGTGTACAAAGTTCAGGATAAGGGTGGTAATCAACTGGTATATGACGGATTTGACAATAATTATATAAATATATATCCTAGTCGAGGCATCTTCGTATGGGATTATCATCTTACTACACTACTAATCTGCATGTGTGGGTGGCTTCGGTAGCGAACATACACTCCGAGCCGAGAATTGCTTGTGGTAAGTCGACGTAAACAGTGCCCGAGCTTTATTGCCTTCGACAGTATTTGTAGCCAAGAGTTTATAATAATACTGGTTATAGGTACCGGTACCCCCTGGGCGAGAGCTACATGGACGTACTGAGTCGCCTCGAGCCAGTGATTTTCGAGCTCGAACGCAGTCGTGCGCCTGTGGTAATCGTCGCACACGTCGAAGTGCTCCGGTGCTTATATGCCTACTTTCTGGACCTGCCTATCCTGGACATCCCCAACGTCCACGCCCCTCTTAATGAGGTCATTGAGCTGCATACGACCGCGTACGAGTGCTTGGAGAGGCGGCATTTGCTACTGCCACCACCTTGTCCGTAACCTGGCAATCGGCATAAATATAGGATCTGTATTGATGTATGTATTCAAATCGAAGACGACCGTTTGAGTGTTGTGTATTGTCCTCACATATATATATATATACACGAAATACACTACAGATCACACGTCCGACATGTCCTCTACTTGTACCTGTCTGTATATATAGGGACAAGTAGAGGACATGTCGGACGTGTGATCTGTAGTGTCGAGTGGTCGATTACGAAACTGTATTCGATTCCTCGTATGTCGTAGTACTGTTGTAGTAGGATCCTATTGTGAAAGACTACTCTTCATGCATTAGCATCATCATAATGCCCGATTCCTACGGCAAATATGTACTACTATGTGAACACGAAATCTAGTTTTTGGTTTTGAGCGGATATTATGAAAATTATTGATGGTATATATTGAATGATCTGATTACTACTAGTAGTAATATTTAACGTTAGGGAGATTTCGTGTCCTCCTTATCCGGAATGTTTTCACAAGTTGAAGCATATGTTATCCGGAACACTACAACCGACTTATCCGGTTGCGTTGAAATTTCACGCGCGAGTGCCATTTTGAGTTGAAGATGCTTGCAAACGAGCGCACGACACGACGACGCTTGCCGCGTGCGGAAGCCATCGCTGCCGGTGCATCCATGAGATCGTCTACATCGTCGGCAGCTGCAGCACCCACCACGACCCAAGCATCACCTGGTAGAAGAAAGCAAGTGATTCATGTGGCCGACGTCGTCAGGGCGAGGAAGGAGCTGGATGCGATATGGAAGGCCACCCCCGCCAACGCACCATCCATCGATCAAAACGGTGACGCTTCTTGGGGATCTGTTGTCTTGTGTGAAGCCACCACGTGGAATGATTTCGAGCGATGGCTCAAATCCAACGAAGGACGAGTGCGACGGTGGGTCTTTGAGCCTCTGGCTGATAGGCCGCCTGGCAAGGGAAGAGTGGTCATCTACAGCATTCCATCTTCCATTCTCGAAGAAACAGCCGGTTTCGTCAACAGCTCGATCGTCATGCAAATCCAAGAGGCTGGAAATGATATCCGCCTATTCTCTACTGTGCGCTGGAAAGCGTCTCCCACTTGCCGGACACGAGATTTTGGCCAAGAACCCGATGCTTCTCTCACTCCTGTGGGCCTGACGATTGGAGGATCGGTGTTGGCGGCCGGACCTGACTTCCCATATCCCAACGTCATCGTCGAAGTGGCCTACAAGAATGACTCCCTAGAACGACTTCGTGCCAAACTCGACCGTTGGATGAGTGACACTACTTCTGTCCAAGTCGCAATTGGAATCAAGATCGATGCTGCTAGCCCGAGCCGAGTAGCTATCTTGCTCCAACGTGGTCAACCTGTTATGCCACCTGTGGAGTTTGGGCATCCAGACCCAGGCCCGCTTCAGATTTCGTTTCCCCTCGCATCTGTGTACGCTGGTGTGGCGTTACCACCCGCGTTGGCGGGTCTCGGCAATACCCCAATTTCGATTGATTTGATTCAGTTGCGAACCGTGATGGATGAAGCTATCGGGCAAGAACTGCCTGCAGCTCAGTAACACATTTCCGTGTTCTACTCGCCTTGCGACGATATATCAAGCAGAAAATATATCACTTTTACCATATATTCAAACTATTTTGTTTTCACTTGATTAAAAAACAGCCTGTAACTTCACGTTCTAGACGCGAACTATATATCATCGCTTTTGCATCACGCATATTGTACTCCTCCAAATAAAATGGAAGCGATGATTTTTATAAATGTATATAATATTGTGCTTTCGAGAGAAATTTCATTGTGTTGTGGCGTGGTTTCTCGTTGGCATTCAAACCGATTTGATTGGCTACTTCAGATGAGCTCAAAATTATTAGCCAATCAAAACCTTCTCAATGAAATTCAACCAATCAGATCGATTGTGGATCGGTTTGGTCGGCGCGATTCGATTGCACCCCCTCCCCAAATTTGTATCAAATCGACAAAACTATTTATTATACGTAGTAGAACTGTAATTCGCTGGAAACGTCCAAAATCGCGATCAAAAACGGAATTGCGCTGTATGTTCGGATTGGCTGAAAATACTACTGTAAGGGCCAATCAGATCCACTTACAATTGGATTAGCCAATCGCGTTCGATTCGAGATTGTCGGTCTGTACTTACTGAATCCACAATACATGTGTTGGTGATGCTCTCCGAATTAATTTCCCCCCGTTCGCCTCTGGGGGCAACCGAGATGTAAAGCCTCTCCAATTCAACCCATTCTGCTTAACGAATCACCCCTGGGAACATCACCCCTCACATCCCCCCCACTGAACCCTCCCCCCACCTTCACACCACGAACCAAGTAAATTGAAAGGCCTTTATACGAGTGGTCAGACGACATGTCCTTGTAATGGCCGTCATGACGGCTTTGCCCATGCACACACTTCCCCACCAGCCAGCTACTACAGGTTACTGTGCTTCAAGTGTCGAACGAACTCGAGGTCGATTGTGTGGTGGAGTTCGTGCAAAAACGCATCGCGGGGGAGGTGGGGCCAGCTGCCCAAGGTAGTTTGCACGAGCGAATGCGCCGGATCTAGCTGCGCGGCCACCGCTAGCGCCTGGAGCGCTTCGTCCGCGCGCCCCAAGTGCCGCAGCGTGTCGGCAAAGCAGAACCACGTGTCTGCCTTGGAGGTTTTGAACCGGTGGAGGGCGTAGAAGTAGACGACGTACGCCATCAAGTAGTGGCCCAACGATGTGGCTCGCTTGGCCAAGTCCGCCAGCATGTCGGCTTTCGTGAGCTTGGTGCGACTCGCGCCTTGGCACGCCGCCAGCGCGGTCTGCATTCCTATTCCAAATCATGACAATATGTTGATGGCACTATTGTTATGTACTACTACACAACACTGGCATTCATGATAAGCCACCACACAACATTTGTATGAGGATGCTCCTCCATCGTAACGTTAAGAACACAACCAATCTTGAACGAGGCAATGCATCCATCCACCCACTCTGTATTCCAGTAGAAGACACCCACAGTGTATTGTCTGGCATGCAGTGATTTTGCTGTACGATCGAAACTTCTCGACCAAAAGTACAAGATGGTCAAGGGGGGGTACCTTGTTTCGACGCTTCCACGTTGTGACTGCGACCATACCCCACCGCACACAAGACAGTCATGTCAGTCGCTGTGAAGGGCGACGGGGGGGTGTCCAACAGGCAGCCAAAGTACGCGATGCTCTCGTCCCCCCGACCCAAGTGCAGCAGCACCACCGCCACCCACAGCATGGCGGTAGACGCCAGTTGGAACTGCGGAAACACGGCCAGGACGTGGGCGAGGACGTCCAGGCCAGCCTTGTACTCGGCGCGCTCCAACAGTACGATCGCGTAGTCATGCAGGACGTACGGGTCGTGGGGGGTCGCTGGGACGATCGTCGCGTATAAATCGTGCGCGCGCGTCAAGTTGAACCTATCGTACGAGGCGTGCCATGTCTGGTGGTGGCAGTACGCGAGCGCCGCTGTCGTGGGTACGTCTCGCACCAGTCCATTGCGACATGCCCCTGGACGAAACAGATGGGCAGATGAGATGTTCGATTTTCCAAGAACGTTCCCAGTCCAAAAGAAACACACAAGGGGTAGGGTCAACCATGTCGCATGTATGGTCAGGGGTAGGGTCTACATGTCATACGTTCGAGAGAGGCCGCGGCGGCCCACCACTGCCCGATGCCATAGTAATACAGACCCAACGAGCTCAACACGTGGCCTGTCGACGCCGTCGCCGGGTCGTCTATCGCAATCACATGCAACGCTAGAACTGTTTCCATCTATGACATAGCACAGACCACCATGTGAATCATGGCAGCTATAACTGGTGCGGATGCTCCTCAAACAAGTACATATTGGTGTTGTTCATGTCTGAACATGTAGCCAAAGCGATTGAACTTTGCATCAAGAATAGACTGATGTGCATCCAGTGTGAACTTGAGTGGACGACGCACCATAGCCACCCGTTTTCGCTCCACGAGCACTACGCGGCGAATGTACCGGCCGCGAATATGCCGTTGCAGCACCGCCACCGCCTTGAGTTCTCGCTTCATGGTCACCGCTCGTCGTGCCAGTGCTTGGCGCCAGGCGCATTGGATGGTCAGGAGCGCCCGAGAGCGCCTGGTGCGGTGGTATGCCTTTTGGCACAGACATCGCCGCCAAAACGCTTGGACGCGCAGTATCGCATGAAACCGGCGGTTCAAGTGGGGGACCACATTTTTGGACAAAAACTCGTCGATGCGACGCCTGGCTTTTTTGCGACGCCGTTCCATTTGCAAAGCCAACTAGAACATTTCACGTAAACCAATGGGCGGCCAGGACGACAATCGCGATCGAAATAGAGCTAAAAACAAGGAATGGCTGTCATGAGTTTGGACTACCTTGGCATCGGTGGCGCGCTGCGACTGCAACAAGGTGGCCGCTGCATGAGTTGCCCGACCACGACCTAGATCGTGTACGTGCTGCTTTCTAGATAAGTACCGACGAATGCACAGGTTGATCAACGTCGCCGCCGCGTCACGCTCCATGTGGAGGCGGCGATCCCGCCGCAACCGCCGGTACCATCGCTGGATCTTAGCTGCACTTGCCGTGCCAATGTCAGTCGAGGTTGAATTGTCTTGGAGTATCAGGTGCTTGTGTAGGTTGCGTTTTCGACGAGACACGGCGACTTGGTCTGCTTGGGACTGTTTTACTTGCCCTTGCAAGGCTTTTGCAGCTACGACGACGTCAAGCTTCACCGGAGAAACTTATGAGCGACAAACATATAGTGTACCGTCGCTAGCGTGCGAGGCCACGGACGGCGGGGTATCGCCGAGGTCGATGGTGTAGTTGTCGACTTGAATGAGCTCTGGGGGTGAGAACTTGGGGGCTTTTGGTGGTGGTGGTCGTAGCCCCGGTGGTTTGTTCGTTAGCGAGGTGCCATTGACTTTGGGAGGGGGGATAACATAGCGCGGTTTGGTTGGTTGGGGCTTGAGCTGATTTCTACTGTAGTGGGTGTCGTTGTTTGCATCCAGCAGCGTCAAGTCGTCGTCGATGTACTTTTCTCGCCATATTCGTTCCTTCGTAGCTATGTCTGCGTGTTTGCGATCTTCCCCCGCATTTCCCGCACACATGATGGTGGATGCGACAGATGCTTTTGTGGCGTAGTCTGGGGCATGCACTTGTATGCGACAGCGTCGCCTATCATTGTGATGGTTGCGCCGCCAATGTACCCAAGCCAACACGATGCGCTGGAGCTTGAACTGACGGGGGGGCGTGGTGGTGGGGGGATGAAGCAGCATGCCCGTGGCTTTGTCGGAACAGAACGCCCGCCAGTCCAGCGGATCGGCGGCGTTGTGTGGATGAAGAGGGGTTGTTTCCCTCGGAGACCCCGTCTCGGCGTCGCTTTCGTTATGGAATGGGTTCGTCTAATATGGAATAGATAGTCTCTTGCGTCATCAGAACTACTGTATCGTACGGCAATGTGTTGAGAGGTCGTTGTTGGATGGTGAGAAGTCCAAAATGCCGGTGAGATGATTTGTTGCAGGGGGTGTACTGCTGGCACCAGTGATGGCACCTGCACAAGTCGTGTTGGAAGAGTGTGTTGACCCCTTTCCTCTAGGCGGAAAGTACCTTGCGGGGAGGTCGAGGCATGGGCAGCGCTCGCTTCTTGGCATACAAGAGCGTGTCGTCTTGCTTTCGAATGGGGGAGATGGAGGGCGATGCTTGATTTAGCGGGGACGACGGCAAGGAGGTTGTCATGGACGGCAGAGCTTGCACGGGTGTGCAACTGGCACACCACCACGGCTCGGCATCATCTGTAGCGATGCGTGGCGGATCAAAGCAGTATGTATGGAGACGGGACTCGCAGCTGTCCTTGTTGACACATCGGACTAGCAGCGCCGCATTGAGGTCGCTGTGGCAACGCCAGCAAGGATGCCGCCGATCTCGCCTTGTCATGCGGAATGGCTGGCAGTTACACCTTGCAAATACGTGTCTATCGTAAAATCCTCCCCGTTTCACATGTAAATACTGTACCCGTAACGTTAGTATTAATATGGAATACTACTATTAATAGTATTAATCTACTAGTACAACGTTAACGATACTGTACGTACCGGGTACCGGGTACTGCCACGAATGTTGTTATACAGTCGACGAGACGATCTTGCACAAGTTTTTGCGGTGAATCCGCCGGTATTCCTAGAATCATCTAAAACTTAATAGCCTTCAACATTGCATGATTAATAGAATCCATAACTCTCAAAACTAAAGTATATTTCACCTACTTAACGATAACCTGTCATATGTAATGCTGCGCTTTTATATACGTCAAATTTATATTTAGCTTTTTCTGATTATGCACTCTACTCCAGAGTATAAAATTATACAAAAATGATAGGACCCCTTGAATATGACCTTCTTTGTACAAAATTGCTAGGCATGAAAAATGTCTTGACCAACTGTTAATAACGTTACTGTTAGCGTTGTAACATTGTGTAAATAATAATACTAGTACTACTAGTCGTTAAATAGTCGTTTTTCCTCCTTCACGGCTCTCCTTCAGCCACGGATGGGCCAGCACTTGCTCGGCGGTTAGACGGGCGGCGGGGTCGATCACAATCAAGCGACGAATGAGATCTTTGGCGTCGTCGGAAATATGTGCCCACGAGGCGGCATGTTTGAAATCAAAGTCGCCTTGAAGGATCGCGAGGCGGACGGCGGCGTCCGACAGCTCTGACGCAACGTCGAACGGATGGTACCCGGCGAGGACAACAAAGAGCACGACGCCAAGGGCCCACATGTCGATGGCCGAGGTGACGTTGGCGGACTGGTTGAGTACTTCGGGAGCGGCATACGCCACCGTGCCGCTTCCGTCCCACAAATGGCAACCTCCTTCGGACGCACGGAACGATAAACCAAAGTCGATGAGGATCATGCGCGCGCTGTCGTCGTTGGCCGAGTCCAGAAGGATGTTCTCGGGCTTGACATCGCCGTGCACGAGGCGCTGCGCGTGCAGCGTGATGAGCGTTTCTGCGAGGTCCCGCGCGATCGATTTCGCATGTTGTTCGGAAAACGTGCCGTGCTGGACGAGCCGGTCAAACAATTCGCCGCCTGGAACGTACTCGGTGACGAGGATCCAGTCGTCGGGGGCTTCGAACGCATCTTTCAACTGCACGACATGGTTCGTGCCCTGCAGTTGCTGCAAGATGGACACTTCGTGTACAAACTTGGCCTTGGACGTGAGTGTCTTGGATACGCGCTTGATGGCCACGGGGGCATTCGAACCCTTCTCCCATCCAGCCACAACGTGCGCAAACCCCCCGCGGCCGATTGTTTTCTGCACGCCGTACCGCGTTTCCAACGGCTGCTGGATCAGCATGGAGCCGCTGGCCGAGGAGTCGGCTTGGACGACCGGTCCGTCTGCCATGTAGAGCGCAGCGAACCCAGCCGCACACGTCAGTAGCGCCGCGGGACGGTGATGCGCATGACTAGCGAGGACGCGACGGAACATGATGACGAGTGCCGTCGACGATGGAATACTGCCGCTTCTTGCAGCCACCACATTTGTCGTCGTGTGAAATATCTGCGGTGGAGCGATTCTGATTTATTTAATTTCACAAAACGTGACCTAATTTAGGCCATTTATCGTTAGTCGTGAGTAGGAGACTATTAACATAACGTGACTAAATTTGGATCTTCTTTTCGGAATACCAGTGAACAGGGAGAGATGTGCCACGAAATGGTATGTCCCATGTCCACCGGACCAATCATAGCCCTGGAGAGTCGTTGATTGGTTCATTTCAGAGATCTTTGCTGTGACGATGCCACGTCACTCATTTGTTGGCAGCGTCCAAATATGTAAGTACTGGCAACGATGTGGAGGAACTGAGGTGGCTGTGCCGCCATGATCTACTAAGCTTAGTATTGTTGAGTGTTTATTCTAAACTGGAGTGGAGAATGAATCGACACAACCAAATGGACAGTAGAATCGACAGAAGAATTGAGCCAATCAGATTACAGGAAACCAGCATCAACGCTTAAATAGTGTGTGAATTCATTTAGTGTGATTGCAATCCCCACAGGACAACACTTTCCATACAAAATTCAGTACAACGAATAATCGAGCGATAGATTTGGCGAAAAGACAATATGCCAGCAACAGGCCATTGTTTCTGCTGTGAAGATCCGTGGTTGCAATAAGAGGAGGCGACTCGTGCGTTTATAATGTTACGTATAGGATCCCCAATGAGACCTGATTGCGCAATGGCGAAGGGATGCGGAAGGTCGTGGCGCAGCGAAATTCACGATGTCTGCCGACAGCGATGTGGGCGTGAAGGGGTGGAAAGTAACTACTGGTCGTAGGTACATGTACAGCCTGATGTGGAATGAGGAGGCCATGGTTCAGCTCAAGATACTGTACAGCATCATTTCAACTAGGCAGGGATGTGTACACTCGCTTTGGGCAATATGGAGGCATAGGTTATCAATGACATTTTAAATTTACAGTGAACATTCGGCGATGAGTCATTCGAATTGAATGCGGGTTCCCGAATACGCCGACTTGACGGCCACGGCGTCGCCCGGGGATGGTCGAACCGCAGCTTGGACGCGAGCGGCGCTTTGCGCATCCCATTCTTCTCGAAGTCGTTCCTTAAAGTCGGGCTGCGCCACTTCCACGCGCAAACGTTTTCCTTTCCACTTGGTGTTGTGATACGTTTGAATGTATTGTGCGACGGCGGCTACTTCAGTTGCAGGCGTTGAGCTATGGAGGTTCACGTAGGCAAAGTCCCGGATACCGAGGCCCTTTATCTTGGCCATGACCAAGTCAATGGATTCGACTGCACATCCAGACACCTTTCCGAAGCGCTGCCTCAAGTCGTCTTCGGTCACATCGCCAGGAAGGCCACCGACAAACAATCGCACCACCATTGGAGTTGTGTCCGAAGTATCATTGCTTCTGCGCTTTGATTGGTGGAGAATAATCCGGAAAACACCCATGTTATCCGGTTGAAACGCTTTGCCGTTTCATATACTTATTAATACATGCTTGTCGTAGTATTAATAAAGCTGTACTAGTACAGTACACTCTGCCTCAATGTTCGTGGCGACAGAATACAGGAAGAAAGGTGAAGGTCTTGAGAGCGTAGGATTACTCTCCAATGTTTTGGATATTACTTTGTTATCCAATCGTGTGAGTCGGAAGGGCTTCCCAAGAGCACAGGACCACATACTGTAGTACTGTACTATTAATAGGTACATGTACGTTGTAGGGGCTCCTCAGAGTTCATGACGTACTACTAGTAGTATGTATTGAGGTACAATTCCCTCATTAAAAAGTTCCACTGTTATTTTGACCTGAAATACTGTTTCAATGAGGTTTAACGTTATATGGAACTTTGTATGCTTAGACCATCTCACTTCTTACTAGGGGTTAAGTGCATCTCAGTAGGCGATGCAGTTAACCTTGGAGATTTAGCATCGTATGTACTCATCGGGGGTAGGACGGAGTACAGGGCTACTGGCGAAAAGTGTAGTATCCGGATGTAATAATTCCCTCATTGAAACAGTGATTCGGGTCAAAACGACAGTGGAACGGTTTTAATGAGGGAATTATTCATGTATTATGGGCACGGCAATACAGTACCGGTACATGTACTAACTGTAAAACGCACAACCTACACTAGACGACACGTTTGAAACTTTCATCCAAATCGTTCGTCACAGTCAACAGCTTACAGCAAAATCACAGCATGCTGCTATTCCATACGTGTAACTCGGTGTACATAAATGTATCACCATCTTCATTGCTTTTGGGAAACATTTTTCTGCCGAATAATACCGGTAGTTGCACTGTAACGTTAGGCAAGTTATGGTACAGTACTGAAGGTCGAAATAGGAGACACATGTGCGACATGTATAACCCCACTCATCAAGCAAAACCACGTGGTGCAAACGCGACAAAATAGTTTGGTCGACCTATGACTTCGGAACACTTGTCCCGCGCAACCACACATCGCAAAGGTTACCCCTGGATACGGTAACGTGCGCCAGAATGATGATGTGGAACTACCAGTCAGTCCTCAAACCCGAAAAACGATTGAGCATTCGGTGCTTTACATCTTCTGCTAGGGCTAATTTCGTTCTCAATAGCCCGCTAATTTGTCGCAATGGAAACGTCCGGCCAAGTACAATTTTCGTGGAAAACACATGAACATGGTGAATTCAGCAATGTGTCTAACGGTATGTATGCAAAATGGGTGAAAAATTCTTGAATTTGTAACGAAAATATTAGAGAAAACACGCCGAATCTGTTGCGCTGACGAAAGGCATGAAATATCCACGAAAACAGGGGCCTGCCTTTTTTTATTCCAGTCAAACACCAAGTATAAATTCATCCGTTGCAATATAATCATGCTTGTATCATACACCACGTAAAAAAAGCGTAGTCTCCCTCGTCGGTGGCACTTACATAACCACCTCACTTCCTATTTGCTTTGGTCTTCATCAGAATGTTCCGACGCATCGTTGTGGCTGGCCTTGTTGCCGTCGCCGCTTTCACCTCTGCGCAGACTACTACGACCACTGCGGTCCCTGGTGCATTTGCTGCGCCGCCTACCGCGGCCCCTGCCGTGACACCCACCCCGATGTTCCCGAACCCGAACTCGCCGTGCCAAGTGTGCGCCAACTCGTTGAACACGCCATCGCAATGCACCACCGCGTACAAAGGCGTGCCTGGCCAGTTTTGCTTCAAATTCTTGAACGCCGGTATCGCGCAAGCATGCTGCTGCCCGTCGACGGCCAAGTGCGCGGTGCAGACTGCGAACGTCAACACGTGTCAATGTGACTCGGGCGCCACTCCTGCCCCCAAGTATGTCGTGGTGAAGAGGACCATTTCTATCTGGGTGTGGGTCGGAATCGCCTTGTTTGCTGTGTGCCTCGGTATCCTCATCTACTGGTGCTGCTGCCGCAACGTGGACGTCGTGGAACCAATGTATGTCGAACCTGTGTACGTCCAACCTGGATATGGCCAGCCTGGGTATGGCCAACCAGGGTACGTGCAGCAAGGATACGTGCAGGGCGGTCCTGGTTACGGTTATGGCGGCGGCTACGGCGGCGGCGACGTTGCTGCCGGTGTCGCGGTTGGCGCTGCTGTCGGCGTGGTTGGCGGTGTGGCCCTTGGAGCTGCCATGGCCGGCGGCGGAGGGTACTATGGAGGCGGAGGGTACGCCGCTGGCGGTGCCGTTGCGGACCCCAACGCTGGAGGGGGTTTCTCTGGGGGAGGAGATTTTGCTGGCGACTTTTAATTTACAACGACACTATGAACGTAGTTCTGTACTATGGAGTATGTGTGTGTTGACATGATAAGATACTTGATGGCAGGCATCTTGCCAACAAGATCGGTCATTTGCACTGTACTCCACACGTCCCATTTTACAGCTGTGGGGGGCTAACAGGCCAAGCTACAAAGTGAGCATTTAAACACATCTTCAATGTTGATATTCTCGCTAAAGCGATGTTGCAAAGTTTCAACTTGAGTCATTTTTCATCGTATTACATAATAAAGTTCCATATCTAATAAACGCGATTTTCATTCTATGCATAAAAATAGGCGAAAATCTGAGAAAAAGCCTTTCATAATCGATACATATTATCAGAAGCCCCCTCGCAGCTGTCGATTGCTCGCGTTGGAGGAGGGCAGTCATGACGGATCAATATATATTGAAGTAAAAAACTAATTCGCCTGCTAAATGTGACTGTCCTGATTGGTTCACAAGATAGAAAGCAGCTTGGGGTTTATTCTGAGTGGGCAACATCGAACATTGGCGTACCTGGTAGTATACAGTAGTATCATGTCCTTTTTATATAAGCTTATACTGGTAGTATAAAATATCCATTTGCTAGTAATTCACTATGATTCAAAGGGAGCACTGCACTGGTACTGCACAGAGTATGTCAGTTACCGTCCTGAAAGCAGTTTTGCACAGCACGATAGCATTCCAAGTCTACAGTCGTCAGCATTTCAAGCCCTATGATTGATAGCCTTGAGCAAGTTTATCTCAGTCAAAATATGTTATTGCCTTGACAAGAACATTTACCTAGAAATCCGATTTTAATGCTAAGCCAGTCCTAATTAGAATATCTTAGGTTATGGTATAGGAATGATGCTCAATTTTCACTGTGGTTTAGCATATTTCCTATATACCTATATCTGATTTCTAGTATAATTATCCATTTATCGGGGTTTACGTTCAGATATGTGGTATAAGAAATATTACAACACCTGTATAACACAATACTACTCCGTAGTAGTAGTACCGGTAGTAGGTGTCATAACCGGTACAGTAAACCTACGTATGCACGCACGACTCACAGCCAGCTGCTTCGAACTATGTTGTACGTCGGAGAATCATCTTGGGTTGCTTGTTCAGTGCTGCTCGTCCACGATGCTCCCTGACATATACTAGTACCGGTATGTAAGTATAGTTCGTGTCAGCTTTTACACTGGCGGCACTGCATCTTGTACTGTCGTCACTCGAGCAATTTCCAAGTGACTGGACCCACCATAATACTGGTACAGTATCTGGGTACATTGTAAGAGCATCTCCACTCGTCTGACTTATAGCTTAGTTTTATACGGATAGCCCTTAGATAGGACCAACTTTGGACTTATCCTCCCACCCGTTGGATTTATTGTGGTCTGGTTAAGTCCAAACATAAGTTCAGCCCCGAAAAAATCTATAATAGGGCTTTTTCGTCGGGAATTTTGATGTAGACTTAAGCTATCCGGAGAAGTGATATATTTTGAAATACAATACAAAGGCAAAGCTCCACATAGTAAAACAAGGTCAAGAATAAAATATTTAAACTAATACCACTTCAATTTACACTGACCACCAAAAATCACAATTCAAGATGGCACGAGGAGAGGCATGGGACACGGAAGAAGATGTTCAGCTTGCCAAGTCGTGGCTCGCTATCTCAGGAGATCCAGCAATTGGGGCAGCACAGAAGTCCTCGGACCTCAACAAACGTGTGTACGCGCATTGGCTGGCTCACAAGTCCACTGTCCGCCACGGAGACCGCTCGCCTCAAGCAATCATCTCTCGGTGGAAGAAAGTCTGTCCCATGCTGTCCAGCTTCAATGCAACCGTCGTCCAAGCGTTGAAGTCTATCCCATCTGGGTGGAACGAGGATGGTGTCATCAGCAACGAGCTATACGCCATTGCTGATGCCAAATTGCACGGTGTCGAACGCACAACAATACTTGCCTGCTGGCGGATCGTGCGAGACGCGCCGAAGTGGCGCGTGGAAGTTGAAACGGTTCAAGGCAAGCGCAAGGCGGTCGAACTTCAGCGCCCCGGGGGGACAAAACATGCAAAAGCAGTCAAGCAAGCGCCGGTAGCGCTTGATGCTCTGCATGCTCGGTTCGTGAAGGCATCAGAGGAAAAGGCTAGTAACATGGCCAAGCGACATCAACTGGCGGAGTTGAAGTTTATGTTCCAAGTATTTGCTCAAGATCCTCAGTCCGAAGACGCTGTACTATTCAACACGCAGTTGAGAGCTAATTTGCTCCTTCGCGCCCGTCAGTTGCAAACGAGCTCGGTAGCGAACGTTGCTCGTTCGTTGGAAGCGGAGGAATCTGCCGAGGATGACGTCGATGCAATTGATGCAAACGAGTAAACCTAATCAATAATTTCTTGATAATTTCTTGACTGATATACTTCAAGTATTAATCGGTCGAATGCTTTGTAAATTTTGCAAAATGATAAGGACGAATTAGATGTTGTTAACACCATTAATCTGCCAAATGTGCTGAACTAAAGCAGCTTTTAACCGTGCTGCTTCCGTGCGTTCATGCTCTGTAGAATCAAAGTTGCGCTTGGCTACGAGGTCGCGTTGCATTGGGCCAAGATGGTTCTCTGTAACCAAAATGTTGCATCTTGCTACGCTGGCTTCCTCGTACTGGTCTCGCGGCTCGGCAAGTGACTCTTCGTCTAGCACTACCATATTGTGCAAAATCAAGCACACCTTAGCCACTAGGTGCATAGCTTTGGCGCCCCAGAGTCGACATGGGTTTCGAAGCACGGCGAATCGTTGTTGGAGCACCCCAAAACAGCGCTCCACGTCTTTGCGAACTGCTTCTTGTTGCGTGGCAAAGCTTTTGGATGCCCAGTCGTTTGGTTGGGAAATAGTCGAGACAAAGTGGCTGGAAGGTGGATAAATTCCGTCCACCAAAAAATACCTACAGGCACTAACTTTGAGCTAGTCGTATATATTGAAATAGTACTAACGGGCTTGTAAAAGTACAGCCACCAACTTCATATGATACAGCTGGCGCTCCACCGACACGCTCGCGGTCAAAAAGGGACGAGCACCGCAAGACATTGATGTCGTTGTTAGATCCTGCCATCCCTATTAATACAACAACGATGGTGCAATACAGTTAATTTTTCTGTACACGGAATCGAGAACATTGGAGGAAACAACCTATGAAATAGTGCCACACACGAAGGTTCTTTGAGGCGACAATCTCCATCACAATGCTTGGCTTTTTCTCTTTGCCCATATATGCTCCTACGAACAAAAAGAATGTATGTCTTGTACGAAAATTGAATAATACAAGCAAAATACCATGCCATGCAACTGGGCAATTTTTCCACACCCAGTGACTGCAGTCTAACGATCCAATCATCCCAGGGAATCCACGCAGAGCATTTTCTTCAAGCAGATGCTGCGTCTCCTCAGCTGTGGGTCGGCTTAAAAACTCAACCGCGTAGAGTTCGTCAATAGCAGCGCAAAATAACTCGAGAGTCTTTAAGACTGTCGACTCGCCCATGCGAAAATTCTCGTCGATTGAGTCGGCTGCAGAGCCGTACGCAAGCATGCGCATTGCTACGGTACATTTTTGGATTGTAGAGAATCCAAGCGCACCTGTAGCGTCGCGACGCTGCTGGAAGAAGACCGAGTGCTGTTCCAGGTCACGGGAAATGCGCAGAAACAACCCGCGGCTCATGCGATATCGTCTTCGGAATGCACCTATGAGAAATATGTGAGATTTGGATGAATTGACATGTGCCTGACCGTCGTCATACGTCGGGTTATCGTCGAAGTAGTCGTTCCAAAGCTGCTCGTCTCCGACCCCGCGTTGACGGTCAATGTTGCCGCTGCGTCCTGGGCGAGATCCTCGGTGGGTCCGTACAGTCGGAAAGAGACACCTCATGTACTCTTCGTCGCTGCCGGAGTCCTCGGACGAGGAGGACGATGAGATCATACAGCTGTAGCTCGTCTCGGATAGGTCTGACTGGTGGGGGAAATGAGACTTTTTGCTGTGACATCCATAAATCTGACAGATATCCGTACATTATCCGTATAAAGCCAAGTTAAAAGTCCCAACGAGTGGAGATGCTCTAACGTTACAAAGCTTTCACGATTCTAAACTTGGTATTAATATTGTCCTTCTCACACAAATTTGGACTGTTCACAGTCAGTCCAAAAGTGAAACCGTTTTGAATGAACTTGGCAATAAGTTACTTATATCTTTTATTCACTATAGTACAGTGCGTTCAATTTGCAAAGTTATTTTTTAGAAAACGCATTGATTGGCTGAACCAAAAGGGACGTTATAGAATGGATTTTGATTGGCTAGTTCATTCTCAAATCGATTTGCCAAGTCAATACCCTTATACACATCTAATTAGTGTGTGACATATATTAGTGTGATTACTACAGGACACCTTTATACATACAAAATTCAGTACAAAGAATCGATCGATGGATTAACAACACCAAAGTTGGGGTAAAAGCCAAATACTGAAGTACAGTATGTACGTAAACTCGCTTGCAACCAACCATTTTCAACGTTCGCGTGGTTTTGTGTGTAACGGCTCGTTGGTCTGGCTCGACCATACTCCTTCGAAAACACTGCCCTCAACTGACCTGACATGGTGACAATCCTGTCGTCACCATCAAGCCCCACAGCAAGCTAAGCTTAGTTGTGTCACGAACTCGCCCTAACGTTATAACCATTGCTTACTACTAGTAGTATATTATATTGTGGGTGATTGTCAAGGACTTCGGTTGATGACGACTGGGGACCTTGAACTTGGCAACTTCAACCTGGCTACTTGAACCTCTTCCAAAAATGTCACTTGGATCAGAAAAGTGTCATTTTGGATATCCGGATAATATTACACTTGCGGTTTGTATGCCACGACCAAAGTGAGATGCAAAATCGCCCCCCTTTCGCCGTTTGGAGCAAAACCGTTACGAAAGATATAGGTGTACCCTCGTACATTCAAATGTACGTGTACGTGCTTGTACTGTTGTAAAGGCAGTATATATTCAAGTACATTTAATGTACTGCAATGTACGAACGTACACGACCGTTCCAAATCGGCTGTCTACATTTGCTTCCAACGGGAGTGCAGTATTATTCGAAGATGGATATTTCATCGCAATTGCGGCAGAGGCGCTCTGGCTACTTGGACGCCCGCCCTCCGTCGATGATGTCGAAAAATGGAATGGCATATGACACGGGTATGCCGAAGGTGGGGTCGGCGCGCACGCCCATCGATGTCATTGCGACGTACATGAACTCGTCCGACACGCGGCTCAACAACAAAGGAGCGGCGGCGGACCACGGGGGGCATCTGTCGATGCGGCACAGCGAGTCGGCCCAAGCGCACTTCTCGCCGATACCGCAACCTGCGTCTGCACCTGCTTCGCTCCAGCGAAAGCGGTCGAATTCCATCACCCACCACGCTCTGTCGCGGGACTCGTCAGCGGAATGGGGATGGTTTGCCGACATTGATAGCAGCGGGGAGTCGTTTGGCGACAACTCGATCACAAGCCTCTTGCGCCGCAAGTTTTCAATCGATTCTGGCGGCGGAAACGAACACATAATCCACGACGAACAACATAGCACAAGTCGGATGACTGCCGCGCTCAAGACATTCCCAGGAGACAGCGGCGACAAGGTCCAGACGGCCGCCGTGTCCATTCCCAAGTTCCGCATCGTGCAGTCCCGCGCCGGTGCCGACCGCCATGCCGAATACCTCGTCACGTTCAAGCTCGGTACATGCAACTTGTCATGTTGTCATTCTCACGCGGCATATGCCTCATTAGGCCGGGAGTTTCATGCAGACTGGCGGCGGTACTCTGAATTCGCCGAGATTATCAAGAAGGTCGAGGTGTATCGCTTTCCTCGCGCGATGGCGGCATGGCGCAATATTGACAATCGATGGTAACGTTATTGTGCATTGCACCCAAATTTGGGACGTTTCGCCAAATAGCTTTCGAATCTGTTTGATCCTATTTAATCTTGTACACACTATACTATACAACGAGGAGTATATATACATATATATGGTTTTGCCCAATAATGCGGACAGGTCAAACGTTTGGATTGGCAGAAATTCGACATGACGTGATGATTTGATTGGCTATGGTGGTTCTTTAATCGATTCTCCCAAAACATTCGATTATGGCGTCCAGTTTCGAATCGATTTGACTACAGTATACTATATACAACGAACTGATCGATACATTTGGCAAAGGAACAAAATTTGGACTTGTGTTTCTTTGCCAAATGTATCGATCGTTGTACCGACTGTTGCAGGTCAAAATGGTCCAGTATCACACTAATTCCAGTCACACACTAATTTGTGGTTGATATTGGTCGAATGTGAGTGGACAATTTGATTGGTTACTTGATTCGTGGTCTGGGTTTTGATTGGTCGTATATATTGATTTGGTGCTTTTGCTCACTTCGAATGAACACCCAAAACAAACACTCCAAGGACATTGAATCGATATTTGACTACTACTAGTAATACTAGTACCTCGTTTGCAAATTGTGATTTCTCGCATTTGTAAAGACTATAATGATCAAATCAATAGGTTCAACCGGCTCGAACCGTCGTATTTGCACAATAAGTGCATTGCCCTCGAAGTGTTTTTGCGCGACTTGATGTACGAACTGACCGTGCCAGACGTACTGATCGACTTTATTGGCGAACGAGCGATCAACTGCAAGCCGCTGGACGCGAGCGGCGGTCGGCCATCGGCGCAATTGCCCAAAGAGATGCGCCCTAAGCAGCCGCAGGAAGAGCGAGAGTTGTTTGAAAAGCTATGGGCAGAGAACTTTGCACGGTCTGCCGTCAACTATGACGAGTCACAGGCGCGGCCGTCAGGCAGGGCTCCAGTGTAGCTCCATAAGATCGGACCGAGCAGTATTTAACCAAGTGGGACAATATATATATATATAGGTGTGTGGATGGCATCATGACGAACACCAGGGGTTTTTCAACACAGAAACAAGTTCAATGAACTAACAGTGGTGCAATACACTGTATGATACTCGCTAGCTACCTGGCTCCCTCGATTGTTAGCCCAGTACGGGTAACTAACGAGGCCGTTCAATTCATCGACAGAACCTTCACAATATTACTGTACTGTACCTGTGAACGTACATAATTCGCTAAGCTCTAGCTAGCACTAGCTACTCGTAGTAAGTACTACAGTACTGTATATCCCTATCACCAATGAAGTACTACCAGGGCTACCGTAGTACGTGGTGATACAATGAACAAAAATAGAGTAGACCTGAACGCAGGCGTATTTCGCCTTCCCCAACTCAGCGGCAGAAAGTACCTGCACCCTTCACCCCGCCTGTCAAAAGTGGCAGTGTACCCCCCCCCACATCCAACTCACAAAAGTGTAATGAGCGCCATTTCATTATGAATTAAACACTGCATCATGGGCTGCAGTGTGTACAATGAACCCTGTTGTTTTGACTTCAACTTCGTCTACTGCCATCTTCACCAGTGATACAGCCTTCGCGGATATGTTGGAATGGTCTTTGCACTGCTGGTGATTGATTATCTACACTCTTTGTTTTAATGTGTGGCGCAGCGACCCCTGTTTGAGGGTGCACAGCATTGTCTTCGAACGGTTCTACTTGAAGTGTTCATTGCATCACGGAGCAGTGTACAAATCAAACAGCGTCAGTTGGAGTACGGAGCTTGTGAGCATCACCAGGGGGGGCGATGAAGCCGCATCCGGACCAGCCGCCCACGGCGTGGATGAACACTTGGTTTGAACTCAGCGCTGAGGCCCACGGTCACCACGCAGCAAATGGTAGTTGGCAGCACCTCGTCCAGCGTGGCAAAGTACGACGACAGCGCGCAAAACAAGAAGTGCGGCACCATCGTAATGGTCAATATCTGCGCGAATTGAGGTCCAATCTGTACATCTGTACACGGCAGCGCTCTCCATGGACACATGCGACCCACACAGATACCACTCAACTTTACAGGGGCGCCCCCCACTGCTTGGCTGCACAGCGAGTTCAAATGCCAAGAGGCCCTAGTAAATGAACTCGTACAGGACGCTCATCCGCATGCTCGCGACAGCCGCCCCTCGAGCTCTTGGGTGCACATGTGACCGAGGAAGGCGGTGTCGGAGGTGATCATCACATCATCACTTGGGCCATGATCGTGTTGAGCGAGAGGGGGGCGATGGCAGTGGTGCATTGCACAGGGTTGAGAGATTGCGTGAGCGAACGGAATCGATTGTGCAAGTGCTGCTGATAGTGGATACAGAATGGGCTGGAGGCGGCGTCCACTGGTATTTTGGTAGCCATGATGAATGGCTATAATCTGCTGCCCGTCGCAAGCGTTGGTTTGTATGTGGTCATATGACGTTGACTAGTCTACTCGAACCTGAATCAAATCAGTTGCTGTCCATCAATCAGACAACTCCCGCACCTCAGCCACGTGTTGTTGTAACAATGGGGTACTGTACTGTACTACAAGGAACGGGTAACACCGTCGCCCCCCACGGGGCTGCTGGCTCAGTCTGGTGCTTAACTTCTATACCAAACATTGCGAAGGCCATTCCGAGCACAAGCACACGACCTTGCCCCGGCGAAGACAGCCTCGCCGGTGAAGGGGAGGGGTGGCTTAAGGCCAAACCGATGATCTGCTGGACTCTGCACAAGGTCATGCAGTGTTTCATTGTTTCATTTATAATGGAGTGAGTTTTGGACGGGTATATACTACGTTCGACCAGTAATTCTGAAGAATCATTTACTAAGAATCCAAATAGATGTTTGATGTTTCAACTATCGAACCAATGAAAGCACACCTTGCACAATTCAAGAATGGACGCGGCTAGAGTTGAAGGCTTGCTGGCACTGCTTCGAGGTTCGATGGCCATGCTGTGTGTGTCTGTGTGAGGGAAGTCATGTCAGTTACGCAAGTAGATGGACAGACATCGAGCATTCGAGAGCACGCAGCCAAACAACTCGGCGTGGTCGTCACACCAGACACTCTACCACCGGTCCTCGACGAGGTGTGACGTTGCTGCCGTTGGCCTTGCTAGCCATATCCACGCTCATCTGTCCGTAGATCCGCCGTTTGGTCCGCAACTCTGATTGGGGGACTCGGGTGGCCGCGGCACAAGCAGTTGGATGTATCGCTCAGTCGCTCTGCCCCGACCTCGTCGCATCCTGCGCTCAATTTGGTGTGTGTAGCTGCCACAGCTGTCCATCAATAATGGCCATTTGAACACTTGTAGCCCAAGCAGGAGCCTCTTCCGAGTCTTTTCTTCAGCTGTCTCAACTCGACATGGACCAGCTACTCACCCATGCCAAGCCCCTGCTTAAAAGCGGTGGCGAAGTACGACTGGAGTGAACTAACTGGCAACAACCAATGGATTTTATGTGATTTTGTCATAGGAATACAACTACACGACCCACTTTACGTCTTCAGCAGACCAGCAAAAGCACCTGGTCCGCCAACGATATCTGCTGTGGAAGCGCATAGCGCAAGACATTCAAGCATCCGTGTCGATCCCTCGACCTGTGCTGCATCTGTCTTCGTGTACGTTGTCGAATAATCATGGGGTCCTACTAGTAGTAATACTAGCTCTGATGACTGTGTAGCGTCCTTCCTCGACGCAGCCGACGTAACGACCGCCTCCGCCCAAGCATCCCAGCAGCCCACCCCCAGCGTCCCCACCCTTCTGACCCATCGACCATCTCAACCAACTCCATCTCCTCCATCTACCGCAGTACTTACTGCTTCGACGCTCCTCCTTGCCTCCCTTGTCCAAGACTGCCTAGAAGCTATGTTTGATGCCAAGTGGGAAGTTCGCCATGGTTCCGTCGAGGTGTTACGCCGAGTACTGGTTCAGTCCACGGTATTGCCCTTTTACTCCAAATTTAGACTTTTTGTGCTGCTTCGCCAAATCTATCGATCGATTCTTTGCCCTGACTTTTGTATATAAAGATCGTCCTGTCTCACACTAATTAAATCACACAGTAATTCGAAATTGCATTGGTCGCAGAATGGATTTGATTGGCTACTTGATTAGTTTCCTGGGTTTGAATTGGTCGTATATCGATATTGTCGGCAGATTTGGTTATTCTGCTCATTCGATTGAGCACTACCTCACTTAAATTTCAAATCGACTATAATACATACTGCTACATCATCGTTTGGCTAGTTAGTCGGACATGAGCTCAGTCCAACATATAGACTCTTCCAAGTACAGAGTTGTTACCTCTGCCAGTGCTGTCGTGGATCGAAGAAGTACTCGTGCGATGTGTGTGTGTGCTAGCATTGGACCAGTACGTCGACTATGCTGCCGATGGATCGGTCGCGCCAATTCGCCACGTCGTGGCCCAAGTCACTGGCTGGGGCCTGACGATCTTGGCCAAAACCCCAAATGTCTCGACGGCGCTGCTGTTGCCGCTGCTGCAGTCGACGCGTTCGTGGCACGCTTGCCATGGAGCGCTCCTGGCCATTCATTTCCTCCAGCCAGCAATAGACACGGAAGTTCCACTTCTTTTGGCCCAAGTGCATCAAGCGCTGTTTAGACACGAAGACGAAGTGTATGGCGCGGCGGCGCAGTGTCTGGTGCAGCTGACGACGCCTATAACAGCTACAAATCGAGCGTATACCCAAGTACGTGCAATTCATTGGATATGTTGGCTACCAATGCTATGTATTTATGTGTGGTGAGTAGGTGCCACCTATCGTCCTCGATCGGCTGTGGGCCCTCATAGGTGCCGACGGAGCCGCCGCCGCCAGCGTTGAGCTCGCCCATGCTCATGTGTTGACGGCACTTCGTCACTTGTGTCCAATGATGCAGACCACCACCACCTTGTCACACATTCAAGTGGTCGGGACGTTCCTCAAACATGTGTTGGTTCCCGTGCGCGAAGCGGCCGTCGCATGGCTCCACGCTGCGCTGGCTTCGATTTCTTTTGACACGTACGTCGATATCAGTCGTGTAATCACGTTGCCTACTAGCTAGTAGTACTACATGTTGAATACACGTCCATACGCAATGTCAGCTTGCCACGTCATGATGAACGACCTTGGATGGCCACTACAGTACTACCTTCTTCCTCTCAAACATGATGGCTGGCTGTAGGGCTTCGGGTGTGTGGTGGCTACACGTGCTCTGGTCTCGGTTGGTCGTCGATCCATCGTGTCAAACTTCATTGCAATCGTTATGGCATCGTACGCTAGACGTGTCAGGCTTGGTTTCATCGGCTAGCTTGATGGTTGTCGTGAACGCCACGACGCTGACAACGTGGTTGCAAGCTGCCTGGAGTAGTAGTAGCAGGCCAGTGTTGACCTACCAGGTCTGTATAATACCTATGAACCTTCCTACAGTACCTACTTCTCTGTGCAAATAAAACCTATCGGTTGGTTGCTGTTTCGCTCATTTCGAAGTCTGACGACGTCATTTGAAGGACTTACAAGGCAACCCCGTTCAAGTCACTTTGCCGGCAGTGGCCGACTCGGCTCGGGCTATGGTGGCCACCGAGTGCTTGGCGGCATTGCACTCCAAAACGTGTGCAGCCGTCTGCGAGACATGGAGTGCGTGGAGTTGTGGGCTCTTGGCTGGTCATCGTGGCCAAGACGTCGTCGCCGCGCTGGCATTTTTGAGTACAACAACTAACAACACTAGTTTGCGTTATTCTGTGTCTAGTAGTAGTTTGATGGACACGTTCCTAGGCCTGACTGCACCGTGCAATGAATGGCCCACGACTCAAGTGATCGCCGCCATGACGACCTCGCTAAAGGCGCCTCGAACGACGTTTTACAAGGAACAAATGGATGGCTGGGAGCTCTTGCAACGGCAAACCAGTCAAATGGCCACTTGGTTCCCCAACACCAGCCCTCTTCGTATTACCCCCCCAGCTTCCCCGTCCACCCATTCCTCGTGGCAGATCGCCCAGACAGTTGCGACGTTGCCGTTCGCAGACTTAGCCAGCCCTGAACCCTACACGCAAGCGCAGCACGTGCGCCAAGATATTTTCGAAACCGAAGAACGCATTCGCTTGGCTTTTGATACGATGCAAGCCACAGTGGGGGCCTTGAGTGCTGCCACGTATTTGAAGTGGAAGGTACTTTGTCACACACATATATATATATATATATACTGTCCATTCCGCCATCATGTGGAGTGTGGGGTCGATTTGTGGTAGCCCATATATCTAGTATGGGCGACGTTTGATTGGCTACTTCTTGATTCATGTTCTGGGTTTTGATATATATTGGTCGATCGATTCTTGTTCCACTCCATTCCAAGTCGAACTCGACTTGACAATATATATATATATATTTCGACCACGCACCTACCACGAAATATTATACAAGGGGTGGACTCATGTGCACGATGGATATTTAGTTACCTTGGGACAAACCAGCGTTTCTCGTACGTCCGTTGATGGAAGGGCTCAAACTGTCGACGAATCCGACGCTGCAACGGCACTTTGCCGTTTCCATCGTGCAGTTTCTGGTGACATTTGGGGCGTCCCATTCAATTTGCTGCTTGAAAATGGTCGCCAACATCTGTGCGAATCTACATGCGACATCTGGGAGCCGATTTCGAGGGGCGGAAGCGGCCACCAAAGCGCTTGTGCATGTCCTGACGCCTGCGGCGGTCTGTGACGTGGCAGCGCCACACGCTGCCTTGTGGTCGAAACTGGCTCAAGTGTGGTCGACACCCCACATTCCGCTGTTGACAATCGTGCTCACCGAAGCAGAGATGACCCTGCTACCTCGGATTCTCACACAAATGTGGCCGCATGTAACCAGCCCCTCCACGCCCCCCCCTCATCTTTGTCATTCGACGGTGACTTTGCCGGAAGCCGTCGCCGCCGCCGCAGCCAGAAGTCCAGACGTGATGGCACATGTGATTGCCTTGCTAAAGCAAGAGTACTGCCCCCAAGTTCTGGACCACCTTGTGACATCGTTTCCGTCGGCTTGTGTGCCAGTAGTGTGCGACTTGATTCCGCTCGCGTTATCGCATTTCCAAGGCGGGAGTTTATCCGGATTGATCCCGTTGCTGCCTTTGCATGGCCATCTGGACATTGCGAGTCCATTTCTACACCAACTTCAAACTGGTATAGTTGTTTTTACCCGAAATATTTGGACTTTTGGGCTCATTCGCCAAATACATCGAATGTTTGTACTGCCTTTTGAAATGATCCATTGCCACACTAATTGAAGTCACACACTAATTCGATGTTGGATTGGTTGAAGAGTGGGTTTGATTGGCTACTTGATTCTTGATCTCGGTTTTGATTGGTCGTATATCGATTGTCTGCCGATTGGGTGAGCTGCTCATTTGATTGAGTACCCTACCCCTTTGGTATATAGTTTGTACAAGCTTTTCAATACGACGTTTCGATTGGCTGAAATTCGACAGATTGTGATTTTTGATTGGCTCTTGGGCGGTTCTATAATATCCATAGTCGACACAATCGATCCAGCTGAGGGCTGCTGCAGTTTCGAATATCGAGTTGACATGGCTCAAACTAGTATTGATTGATATTGGTTTAACGCTTACGAGTACTGTAGGCCACGTTCCCCCGCTACCAGACTGTATCGACTGGCCTCCGAATTTGATTCTACGCCCATATCAAGTACAAGGCATCACGTGGTTATACTTTTTAGCCTCCCATCGCCTCCACGGCATTCTCGCAGACGACATGGGGCTCGGCAAAACGCTCCAAGTACTCTGCAGCATCGCCGTGCACAAGCAACTTGGTCACAAACTCGACACGTCGCCGCCGCCGCCGCCGCCATACTCTGTGCTTGTAGTGTGTCCCCCCATTGTGATGGCGCACTGGGTCCGCGAAGTGCACATGTATTTCCGCCATGCATTTCCCAATGTCGTCATGTATGGGGGGGTGCCAGCGCACCGCCGGATAGCGTTGCAACGCCAGATCATTGCATCCAAATCGACGGATGGGGGGGTGGTGGTCGTAACCAGCTACGCGACTTTGCACCAAGATAGGTCGTTCTTTCACAGCCAATCGTTTACGTTTTGCGTAGCAGATGAAGTGCACTTGTGCCGCAATCCTACCAATGCCACTACCCAAACCCTCTTGGGCGTACGAGCCGCCCATCGCATCGCAGTGACCGGCACACCGATTCAAAACTCGGTCGTGGACATTTGGAGTGTGTGCGAATTCATCATGCCGGGCTATTTGGGAGACGCCACGTCATTCCGACACCATGCGGTGGGTCCGATCGCGGCTAGTCGTAAACCCACGGCCACCGTGGCGCAAAAGGTACTGTAGGTCCCCAACCATCCATTTCCTGTGACAATGTTACTTTTCTCCGCAAAACGTTATCCGGATTCGGTACAAACCCTGTCGAATCGACGACGCGATTGGCTAATCCAATAGTTGGAGAGGATGTTTTGATTGGCTCTTACAGAAAGGACAAGTAGTCTATTCAACCAATCACAACTAGTCCATCGTGATTTAGTCGACAAGCCACTCGAATTTTTATAAGTGTATAGCGAATGCACAATAAAAGTTGGACGTTCTATTGTGCTTTCGAGTGAAATTTCATTGTGTTGTGGTTTCTCGTTGGAATTTTTTAAATCGATTTGATTGGCTACTTCAGATGAGCTCAAAATTATTAGCCAATCAAAACCTTCTCAATGCAATTCAACCAATCAGATCGATTGTGGATCAGTTTGGTTGGCGCGATTCGATTAAAATTTGTATCAAATCGACAATACTTTGTGTGAACAGCTGACGTGATCGATGTGATTGGTTGGGATTGTGAAGTTGTATATATATATCGTCGTTATCACCATGGACTAACACTAATTTCCATCCCATTTACGAAATATGGTTGTAGCGAGACATGATTTGATTGGCCACTTGATTCGGGTTGTGGATGGTTTTGATTGGTCCATCGATGTTGTGTGTCAATATAGACTTTGTGCGGCTCACATTCACTCGACTTACTCAATCTGACTTCTATACGAGAACGAGATGACGCTAATTATTGTGGATATCATTTTCTATGGGTTTTTTTTCGAGTCAGAATACAGTACATATTTCGAAACCCCTATATATTACTGTATTTTACGAATGAAATAGACTTGTAATGACCATATCGAGACATCCTTTAGTACGATTGATTGTTTATAGGAAGCTGGTGCGCTGGCGATAACTGATTTGCATGCAAAGATCGCCCCGTTTGTGCTTCGGCGCACCAAAGATGCTGTGCTCTCGGACCTGCCTCCGAAATCTATTCAAGACATTCCTTGCTCCCTCACTCTGATGCAAACGCAGCTCTATATGGCGGCGGACTCGCTGGACACGGCCATGGCTACGTGGAGGCAGCGGCAGCAGATTTGCATGCATCCCAAGCTAGTCGATGACCACCTGTATGCCCATGAATCCAGTGGAAAAATGATTGCGCTGGTTGAGTTGATGGGTTTGATCCACGGTGACAATGGTGACGACAATCTCGGCGAGCATCGAAGCCTTGTGTTTTGCCACACGCCAGCCCACGTCGCGTTGGTTCAAGCCACCCTGGCCACTCATTTACCTCGTATCCGGACACTCAAATTGGACGGGTCAGTGCCGCCTTTGCAACGGTACGCTTCGAAATGATGTCTATTATATATATATATAGTGAAATATTCGCTATAAACTTCCATACTTTCTATTCAATATTGTGAATAATTAAACAAACTCTTGATTGTTGAATACATAAAATAGAAATAATTGCTTTTTTTCTCTTTCATAACCAATCAAATCCACGTTTGGATGAGCCACTAGCGTCGATTCGTGATTCGATGATTCGGATCATATATATATCGAATTCCACCATATATATATAGAGTACGAGTATTGTTTTCCTGTACATATTCGAAATGTGTACAGTACATAAAACGATCCCAAGATATTCCCTACATTTTACGAATGGGGATACGAAACGCAGAGCGATAATAAAGTGTACACCATATCTCATAACTCTGAGATACGGTATACATAGGTCGGCTATCGTAGACGAATTTAATCAAGAGCTTTCGATCCACACGCTGGTCTTAACCACGTCGATTGGGGGGCTAGGGCTCAACTTGGTGACAGCCGACACGGTGGTATTTGTCGAACACTCTTGGAATCCGTTTGTGGATTTGCAAGCTATGGACAGAGTGCACCGTGTTGGGCAAGTTAAACCTGTGACAGTGTACCGCCTCTTGGCTGAAAACACGATTGAAGACCAAGTTCTGACGGCGCAGCGGTTCAAAATCGCCACGGCCGACGCCGTCGTGGGTGCGTGATGATTCTTTGTACTGACTTTTGTATGTCAAAGGGGTGTATCACACTAATTTTGAAGTCACTAATTTGACGTTGTTGTTTTGACGACGGTTGTTTGCTGCAATCTGATTGGCTAATAATTCCTTGTGTACATGCCTTATTTGGTTATGTGTCGATACTATTCATTCTCCATGTAAATCACTCGAGTTTAGAATATATACACAATATGAAAATCACAGTGTGTTGTGTACGATGATTGCAGGGCCAAACGAAATGAAACAAAAGTCAAATGTCCTGTCTGTGCTCCACACTGGCCTCGTGCAGAGCCAACTACTACGACCAAGTAAGAAACCAAAGACAGCCGGGAATACCGTCGAGAGCTTGCTGGACGAACTGGGTGAGCTGTGGGACGTGGCGCAGTATGATTCGCTGGAGCTGTCATAGCCCAAATAATAGCGTTAATACAAGCAGCGCGGTGCTGTCGTTGAAAATGTACAGAAGTCGACTGCTTTGAATGAGCCTATGCCTTGATCTCGTGTTTGGCCGTGTCATGATCAACGCATGGCGACTGCTGCAGAATAAATACCAGGCATGTAGTACATTTGGTTAAGATATTTGTTGTGTTTATATTCTAAACTGGAGCGACATGGGAGAATAATGACAAATCCTCGGCAGAATTAGTATTTACAGCCAATCAAAGTCGAGGAAACCATCATCAACGTCGAATTCGTGTGTGACTGAAATTAGTGTGATGTTAATCATACAAAATTCAGTAACTAGTTAGAAAGAATCGATCGATCGATTTAGCGATTCCGCACAAAAGTCCGCCAAATTTTGGGGATTTGATTGGCTACTTCAGATGAGCTCAAAATTATTAGCCAATCAAAACCTTATCAATGCAATTCAACCAATCAGATCGATTGCGGATCGGTTTGGTCGGCGCGATTCGATATTGCACCCCCTCCCCAAATTTGTATCAAATCGACAATAAAAAGGACAATATCGATTTTCAGACTCTAGTACTACACAGACATGATGAACCCCGTTAGGAAATACACGGACTTCATTTCTTCCGTAGCTAGCTGAGTACATAGTACAATGGAGCTATGGATTAGGCACAGATCAGTATACGGGAATCGTTACCGAGTGGGACTCACCTATACCGGTAAGTGAAGATTTCCATCGTTACTTGACCTAGTCAGCATTGCGAACTAGTAATAGTACACACTTACGTATGTTCTGGCGCTCGTCACAACTCTCAAATGTCCAGTTTCTGAATGGGTTCACTACGTCGACGACACCCATGCGAGTAACTTTGGTTTTACGAATCACGCAGAATTGGTGAAATTTTTTTGTATCAAATTCAGAATAACGTTAACGTGAATTCGCTAGAAACTTGCAAAATTCGCATGGTTTGTCTAATCAATATTGAATCTCACTGGAGTGGTTCTGATTGGTTGAATATATATACACTTGTCATTTCTGTACGACCCAATCAAATGCACTTAAAATTGGATGTGCCAATAATACCGTCGATGGTTCGTGATTCGATTCGGCGGCGAGATTCGATTTTCGACGGGGTCTGGAAATTTGTACTTCGAGGTATCAAAATCCTGAATATTTACTTGTATTTCTTTTGCTTTCGAATTATTATCCCCATGCCACGTCGTACGAGTTGAGGCTTGCATACCTTCCACAACAAACAGTGTAGTGCATAGACTCTAAATTGGTCTATAAAGACTATAAAGACGTCCTCTATATCGACAATGCTCATGTAAGAAGTTTGGGCCAATTGGCTCGACCACTTGCTTGTTCACAAGAGGTAGTTGACGCTATACAAAGATCATCAGTCTGATTTAGGACAAATTTAAATAAACCCTCGTAATAAAAATGATTTTGCGGCAAAACTTGAGGTGAAACGTGGAGGTAATTTGGGACAGAGTAGTACAGAAGTAGTGAGTGCGTGCACCGATAATTGCCTACTATATCGTGTGAGGCAACATATTTGGAAATTAATGATATATGTGACAGAGTCCACATCCCAATAATGCTGTAAACAATCCTATTCATTTTGGCCGCGAATTACAGTGTAGTATATTATATTACGCGACCACGAACGATGTCGTTCGTTTTGCGCCTTCTACTCGAGCAGATCTTCCACGTCCAACTGCAAAATGTCGGCATCGCATCCCTACACCACCACAAAAAAGATTAAAACCAAGTCAGAACCAAGTAGCAACTACGAAACTCTGTCACATGTGTTCGTACCAGCAATGTCGACACATTGGGCAATGTGCGTCCAAGGTCACCGTGGATAAACTCCTTGACGTACGTCCCCGCCGACGTGGTGAGTCGAAGCAGCATGTAATGGTCATTTAACACTGTCACATGGGCGCTGTGAATCACTTTCGACCGCGTCAACAACGTGCGGCGGTGGAGTACTCGCACTATTCATTATAAATCCCTCGCTTTAGTGACATTTCTCACACTATTCAGTATGAATCCCTCGCTTTAGTGACATTTCTCCTCTGTGTGTAGTACCGTACCCGGCGTCTTTTGCGCGACTGCCAAGTCGGAAATGCCATTCAATCTCGCCACGTGTTCCCGAGTCAACTTGTCTGCGACCCACACGACACAGCAGTACGTTTTACGCTTCGAATCGGCGCCAGCTTGGAGCACCGTAAACCCTTTCTACAAAACTCATATCTTTATATTTCATCTTGCGAAATGACAAGTTTTCAAGGGTTTGGATGGTTGAATATGCTGAAATATAGGTATTTTTGTGTATTTAGTAGCTATATAATAGATATCAAAATTATCAATGGGTATCTTTATTTCATCTTTCGAAATGACGGAATAATATAAGTTCTCAAGGGTTGCAACATAAATGTTGAATATGCTAAATATAGGTGTTTTTGTGTATTTAGTAGCTATATAGATATCAAAATTTGGTGGCTCCAACGTACCTTGTCCGTGAGTTGAAACTGTCGAATTTCAACGCGGTCGACATTTTTCAAGTTGACTTCGGCTTGTATCCTCTACATATATAAAATTTACCATAAATCATAGTGTTATTCGACTGTAGTATGTATATTATACATTCGCTACATAAAAAACTCTATATATAATGTATTAATTTATGTCTTATATTACCTCGTAATGCGCAGCCGACGCTAGCGACGCTACCTTGGAATCTATCCATACCACACAAAATACTCCGTAAAACTATGAGTATCAAATGTCGATAGCCGTCAAATGCCAAAAAACGGATAAAAAAGTCCAAAAATGTAGATACAAACGTCAAAAATAGATACAAATGGCCCAAAATCGATAAAAATTCAACAAAAAACAGCCAAAAACGAACCAATTAGTTCCAAAATGAACGGACGGCCGTTGCCAAGCATCCGGACGTCCACGTCTTCGCGGCCCGCCGTGTGGAACTTGTATGACTTGGCTTGAAAATGAGGCAGCACAATGTCCCCAATCGCTTCTTCCACAGACGACTCGCCCAACCGCTCGCCTTCGAGCACCCTAATTGTCCAATATAACGTGAAAAATCACTAAAAAACGCTAAAAAAAGGATCAAAAGTATGGTCCGTACCACGGGGTTTGGCTCAATCCGCGCTGGAATTTCAAGTACCGACCCGCCAAGTAAGTTGGCGCGCGCTCAATCGTGTACGTCAACGTGCACGGGGACGCTGCGACCGTTGGAGGGCTCTAAACAGAATATATATATATAATACATATATATATTTGTATATATATAAATCACATATATGTATATAAATGAGATATATATATAAAATACATATATTTGTATATATATATAAAATACATATATATACATATATATATATACATATATATATATATACATATATATATATAAATGACATATATATAAATAAATCACATATATATATAATTGTATATATATTACATATATATATAAAGAGAAGTTCCGGGTAATTTCGTGCCAGCAGCCGCGGTAATACGAGAGGAGCGAGCATTATTCGAAATGATTAGGGATATATATATAAATGACATATATATAAAAATGACATATATGAATATATCTTTGGTACCGTCAACGTCGATGGCAAGTTGGACGCGTGGAGGAGGGCGGTTTGCAACGCGCGGGTCACAGCGCCAAACGCGTCGATGTCTAGCTTTCGCTTCTTATTTTGCACAATCGTGTCCTAAAACCGAGGGAATGGGTCCTCATGTCCCTCTCCCAAGGACAATAACGAAGATATGTACATACGCGGATCGTGGGCAGTTGCATGGCCTCTTGTTCCGACAGTTCATGGTGAAAATGGAGATGGATGCTGATGTCGCTAGTGGCGACATACGCGGCATGGTTTAAAGCAGCCGCGAGAAGCGGCGTCAAGCACCACTACAGGATGATGACACGTCATGAGCCAAAGATATACATGTATAGGGGCAGAAGGATATATAGTACCTTGAGGACTTCTTTGAGGTCGATGGGAACCGTCGTGATCTGGACGACGTGGTTGAGTGCATGTTGACGAATCAACGTCGCGCTGGGGATTTGAATCGCAATCATAAACGTCGACGTCGCGTAGCCACTAACAACGAGGACACGGGGATGAGCGTCAATGAAGTACAGACTACCGTCTAGACACGGACCTGTCTTTCGACTTGGCGATGAGATCGGCGCGACCGGCAGCGCCAAGCGCGCCTTCAAACACATCCAAGCAACACGTACACACACCTGCCGATCCTACGCAACATGATTAGGACATTGTGCTGACATGGATAACGAGTGCGACCTGTGGGAACGGCCGATCCTCCGTGTGCAGCCACAAAGGCATCCCACGTGCGGTTCAACACAGCAGTGTCGAGGCTGGAACCATGACATCATGACAATCATGGGAAGATCAGCGAGGTGTGACCTTCATGCATGTGCGTACGTACCTGTAGAGTTCGTGGTCTGAAATCGCCGCATACCGCAAGATGCATCGAATGCACACTCCGAGTCCCTTGAGGGCATGCAGTTTCTCGAAGGAGGCAGCGGGAAGCAAGCCCAGGAGCGTCGCGTTCACGGTCACGTCGGCCATACTCGTTCGGTTGGTGGTGCAGAGCGGCAGCAATAGAAGTGCATTTGAACAACCTCTATGTTTCGATATATTGTTTCAAAGGGTCGCGCTCCCATTGGGCGATTTCGGCCACGTTGAACTAGAATGATATCGCGACAGCTCGTGCTGCCACGTCACAATATGGTAAAAACCATCCACATTGAATTGCAAGACTAATACTATTATAAATAATAGTACAGGTACAAGGTTCATATTGTAATGTGGCGTTTTGGACCTCCTTACAGTGTTGAGGAGTAAATCCCACTCGGGAGTACTATAACTAGTATTGTATTGGATTTGGGTTAAAACTCTTACGACATGTTTCAATTTTGATCAGGTTTATTGAATTCGGCCCCAAAACGAGAGTATTCATACTTTATACTATTAATAGTACTTCGAAGTAATATATTAATAGTACTTGAGTATAGTACTATTAATAGTAGCAGCACGCAAGAAGAGAGTACGGTAGAACGCTTTGCTGTCGATATAGTCACAGAATGAGCAAGATGGTAGTGTTACTACATAGTATTGTACTAACGTTAGTATTTTAGATGGTTGATGAGTGTACTGAAGGCCGAACTCATAGTGCAGTTGTGAGTGCAAGTTACACGTAGCATATCACATATTCGCTTCAAACCATATACCGTATAATGTATATGTATTACGACAGGTGATATTTCACAACCAGCCGACACTCGTTCTCAAAACTTTGTTAATCCATTGCGTCATACAAATTTGAAGTATATTAAACATGTTCACAAGTAAATATCAGTTATTACAGGAGTCGCAATAGATTAATCCGTCGCAATACATATACACTATACGGTAGTACAGTGAAGTACTACCGGTAGTAGTATTATTAATAGTAATATGTACTACTGTAGTACAGTACTGTACGTTGCTAAATATCGAAAGGCAGCATCATCAGCAAGGCAGGCCCAAGGCTGGTCAAGTGCGACGACGAGATGGCGTGACCGCGGACACCTTACGTACTTCGATGCAATGCACACTCGCTCCCTTGTGGACCGTACCAGATATGGACGGTAGTAAACTAACGTAATCACAACAGGACACTGTTCTCGCATGTATAAGAGTACATCATACCCTCTGCCACGAGTGCATGCAAGGAATCGAATAGAGTGCAAGCAGGATGGAGCAACGCTAGGGGGGGCATTCTCTTAAGCGCCTGCAAGAGGCTGCTCTTAGCGTCAACCCATGGAGGTGTGCATAGTTCCTTGGACTTTGATGTAAGGTCTGCGTCCGTCCGTGGTTGTCATGAAGCATGAGATTTCAAATTTCAAACCGTAGACGCTACGGATTGGTTAAAATGTTGCCAATCAGCCATTTGATTGGTGTATTTTTCCGATTGGTCAATTCTACCGTGATCTTTGGGTCGTCGCCGTCTTACAGTGCGCAAGTCGGTGGGCCTGGACCGATGGCTGAACTGCAGAGCACAATCACGGAACGATGCGTGGACGAGGAAAACCGCGAGTCCACGCGGACATATACGCGACATCGCTTCCTTGGCAAGGTACGTCTGATGAAACAGAACGCAGCCCGCCCGTTCATTGGCTGCACTACTGTATGTATGTAGGGCGGGTTTGCCCGATGCTACGAGGTGACGTGCGACACCACGGGCGCCAAGTTTGCCGGAAAGATCGTGGAAAAGCAGAGTTTGGTCAAGCCTAAGGCACGTCTCAAGTTCACGTCGGAAATCCGCATCCATCGGACGCTCCAGCATCCACGTGTGGTGCAGTTTAAGCATTACTTTGAGGACGACGCCAACTGCTACCTGTTGCTCGAACTGTGCACAAACCAGGTGCGTGTCCACGACCGCCATCATCATCCCGATCAACAACGTCATCATGATGGCTTGTACATTATTACAGAGCCTGTCCGACTTGTTGCGTCGACGGAAGCGCTTGTCCGAGCACGAAGTCCGGTACTACATCCACCAGCTCATCCAAGGCGTGGCATACCTGCATTCAAAATGCGTGATCCACCGCGATTTAAAGCTGGGCAATCTCTTCTTGACCACAGACATGCAGCTCAAGATTGGCGACTTTGGGCTCGCGTCGCATCTCGATTCCCGCGATCAAAAGCGGCGAACCATGTGTGGCACCCCCAATTACATTGCCCCCGAGATCCTCAACGGTCATCATAACAATGGCCACAGCTTCGAAGTGGACATCTGGTCCACGGGGGTAGTCATGTACACGCTGCTGGTGGGGAAACCCCCCTTTGAAACCAAAGATGTCAAGCACACGTACAAGCTAATCCGAGCCAACGACTATGCGTTCCCGTCCGACGTCGCCCTCTCAGCTACCGCCAAGTCACTCGTGATGGACTTGCTACAGAAAGACCCGACGCGGCGCCCGTCGCTAGCGTCGATTCTCAGCCATCCGTTTCTCCAAGAACAATCCATCCCATCCCATCTCCCCGACACCGCCATGTTCATAACCCCTAGCTCATCTATGCCGGGGGGTCGACATTCAAGACACCACCATCGGTCGCCGCTGGCCCCGCTCGATGTCCATCTTCGACCCGCCAAGCCGCCAACCGCCGCCATCCTCGCCCTGCCGCCATCGGCATCATCGGCCATCACCTCGCAAAAGCAACCATTGCCGCCAATGTATCCCGTGGATCTCCTTGACGAAATCGTCGAGAACCTCACCGCGGCATTCTACTACGTGGCTTCCGCTGACGGGGAAAACCGCGTGATCGGACAAAGCCTTTTGCAAGCCAAACTGCGCGTGAATATGGACGACGACGACACATTATCCCCAGCCTCACTGTGGGTGCTCCAATATGTGGATTACACTGCCAAGTACGGCCTAGGCTACGTTCTCTCCAACCAGTGCACGGGGGTGTACTTTAATGACGCAACCAAGATCATCGCAAGCTCGACAATGTTTGGGTATATTGATCGGTCACCAGATGACCAAGCGTCTGAAAGTCCCCAGCAAGTGCACAGTCTATCCGAGTACCCCGTGGACTTGACGAAAAAAGTCACATTGCTCGGCCATTTCAAAGAGTTTATTGTATGTATATATACATATATCTTTCAAAATGGACGACTGGGTGTATATATATATGTATATATATATATGTATGATAAGTGTGGTGGGATAGGAAGGGGAAGAGACCGAAGAGTCGAAATGCCTCCAGCGTAACTTGCTATTGGACTTGCCCACGGTACCCACACCCATGATATACGTGTCCAAGTGGCAAAAGACGCGCCATTGCATGATGTTCCGCCTCTCGAACGGCACCGTTCAAACCAACTTCTTTGATACGACCAAGTTACTCTTAAGCCATGGCGGCAAGCAAATCACGTATGTATATATATATATATATATATATATATATATATATATATATTATGTTGTGTTTACCCAAGTTTTGGACATTCAACCTGAGGAGAGGGTATTCGCGAAATCTATCGATTCTTTCATTGTACTGAATTTTGTGGAAAAAGGTGTGTCCTGTAGTGATCACACTAATTTAGGTCGTTTACGATTTCGAGGTTGATGCAATCTTGATTGTTTGGACTTCTTTTTATTTGATTGTGATCACACTAATTGAAGTCGCACACTAATTGGATGTTGATGGGGGGGTTCCTGCAATTTGATTGGCTCGTTCCTTTTTCTGTCCATTTGGTTGTGTCGATTCATTCTCGAGGTCGCTCCAGCTTTGAAAAAGCACAATATATATATATATATATATTGTGGAGTCACACTTTATGATTATTGTGGTGAGTAGATTTGTGGACAAGAGCGGGCGGATGCATGCGACGTCGCTGTACCACGCCATATCGTCGCGCGCGCTCCCTGATTTATTGAAACGATTGAAGTACGTGGACAAAATATATATAAATATATATATATATATATATATATATATAAGTGGGCATGATGGTGGATGGGATGATGTTTTGAAATGATGGTTGAGTAGATATGTAAAAGACATGCTGCAGCAAATGGTCCACAATGCCAAAGCGGCCTAAGGCGATCAAGTGCAGTTGTGATGTGGCGGACACACATTAGTATGTACTAGTAACTACTAGAAGAACAAATCACCAAACTCCACAAGTCATTCAAGAGCTCTACTATTAATAACGTTATCTCGAACAGGTTCCGTAATATTCATGACTAGTAAAAAACAAAAAACGGTATCTCCAACTCAACACAAATCTTCAAATATCATTATCTCAAACTCGACAAATCGTCGACAGAGCTCTATTAGGGCCTACTCTAAGTAGATATTTTAAGGCCGAGTCTGGATGCCACAGAAAATTTGATGTCAAATGATATTCTGACACATAATTTCCTTTTCAAATGGGAGATGAGAAAATATTTCCAAAATGTTTTGATGTGACCTCTGGATGCTATGATGGAATGAGAACTATCGGTAGAATATCATGGTGGTAAAAAATTGGACAGTTCCAATTCAAACTTTTTTCCGTCAAAATTGGACATATTATGACAATTTATATATGTCAGATTTGGTAGACAAACACACAAAAGCTGTCGTTTGAAAAATTGTCATATTGTTCATTTGATTCGAAATTGGAGTGGGGTGCTCAATCGAATGAGTAGCACCAAATCGGCAGAGAATCAATCGACCAATCAAAACATGAATCAACTAGCCAATCAAATCCACTCTTCGAAAAAATAATTCAACATCGAATTAGTGTGTGATTGAAATTAGTGTGATACTGGACGACCTTTACATGCAAAAGTTTCAGTATAAAGAATCGATCGATAGATTTGGCAAAGAATGAGCACAAAAGTTTAAATATTAGGTAAAAGGGCAATAATATTTCTGAAAAGTTGCAATATCGGACATTTTTTGTCGCAGCCAGAGTGGCCCTTAGCAAATGAAAAAGTGGTTCCAAGTGCTAGTTTCCTACTTTTTTCTTCTTTTGGTGCGATTTTTTACCCAACTCACTATACCAAAATTAGAAAAAGACGTCAAGGACCTCTTTTTCTAAATAGGTTATGATTGGCTCATGCTATTTCTGAAAACTGCTTGTTAGTGTATTATCGATGCAACATCACGGGATTATTGTGCTTTCCAGTTGAACTTGCCAATTGTGAGCCATAGGGGAAGTTCCACGTAGTTTTTCGAAATAGCATGAGCCAATCAAAATCGATTAACCTCTTTTGTTTTCACGATTTAGAAAAAGACCTCTTTTTCGTCGTCCTACCCCTGAAAAACTGAATCGGATGTCCATTTTCTGCCCAAATCTTTGAAATTCTAACCAATCATATCATCGTGGCTCGTCGATTGGATTGTCGTCCAGTGACATAATAGGGTGATGTTTGGTGAGGGAATTCCCACGTTTTGTGATTGGGGTCATTAATTAATTTTGATAGTAGAAATAATACTTTGGTGTATAGAACAAAACCTTTGAAATCGTATATTTGTATCAAAACATGGAGGTCGACTGCCCATTTTTGAATTTGCGCGCGCAACAACACCCATGTTCCGCAGCAGGTTGAGTGACGGCGACAAGGCGCTCCTTCGCTTTGCATGCTGCACGTACAACCTCAAGAGGATGGCACGTGGGGATGGACAGGTTGCTTCATCGTCTCTTGATGGGACCATGCTGCCAACGACAACGACTGTGAGTGAGAAAGAACCATCACCACCACCGTCAACATTCCCGCCATGCCACGCCTCGCAAGCTGTGGACCGGCTGGTACCTCGTTTCCACGGTCATGTCAAGGCAACCTCTTCCTCGCGAGATGCAGTCACGTGTATTCCTCCAACGACAATCACAGATACCTTGCTAGACCTTGCTGCGGAGTTTCTCTACTCGGACAGGTCCTCCTCGACAGCATTCAATACAGCGAGTAAATACCTACTGTACCTACCGTCCTTTCTCTCCTAGCAATGTCCTGACTTGAGAGTGCTCATTCTAGGGGTGTTGCGAATGGCATTTCAACAAACTGACCAGGGCTTCTTACGTCCCACCCCAGCTTGTGAGAAGATTGTCCTTTTCTGGTGCGATTTTCTGCTCATGGGGCTACGCGGCGACTACGCGTCGTCCATGAACTGGACGCATGAGTGGCCGATTGTCGTGGAGGTTGTGGATGCTCTCGTTTTGAACTACGCGATATCCCAAGGGCAACATCCATCGACGCAGCGTCAAGTTTCCCATATCCTGAACAGCATCTCGGAAGCGTGCATGACAAACCGCACCATCGGTCTGACGGTGCTCGAATGGGCTATGGAACTCGTCGGACAGTTGGCACTAAAGTGACGATGAATCCAGTGGCTCTGACTACGGATCCTAACTGCTTCGTCATGGCATTGAACAAGTGAGCAAGCCATCAAAGCTGGCTCGTTTTGGCGGTAAGATGATATTAACAAGTCCGCAAACTATAACTTTTAGATCGCGTATTCGTTGGGATCGTGGCCGTCGTCGACACGCTTTCCGTTCACATGTCCTGGTGCAGGGCGAAGGTCCCGCAGCGACGACGCTTGCTGGTTTGATCGTAGTTGTTGTGGAGGAGCAGCCGGTGCACGGCAGTTTTGGTCGCTGTAATACTCGCTCGTCCATTCGCGTTGCCCGTGCTTGTTGGACTAGAACAATCACCCATGTACGTGAGAACAATATATCTCACCATACATACTATATATATATATGTCAACCATACCGTCGGGATCGAGTCAAACGCGTGCAGTTGCAAATGCGGAGGCGTGATTTCATCGGCGGCGACGACGTCGCCGTCATCCTTTTGGTTTTTGATCTGGCGGGTTTTCCAGAAAATGTACACCTGGCGCGCCAACAAGCACAAGAGCACGACGAGTTGGAGCGATAAAATCACATATGACACGACGTTTTGAACCGACCACGGCAGATTTTCCGTGGCAGCGGTGAGCAAAAAGAAACTCAGCCCAAACACCACGACCTTGAGGATCACAATCATCACAGACGTGTTCTGGACAAACTTGGCGCTGTGGGGTTTGCGCACTTCGAGCAAGAGGAAGAACGCCACATGCATGGCAATGAGCAAGATCAGTTGGGTTTTGCCTACGCCACATCAATCAATCATCTCGTCTCTCACCAACCATCCCATCAAACAAATAGTATCCATCAGTCGATTCGACATTGGAGTGTTCAATGAGAGACAGCACACACTACAGACAACAATCAATCGATAGACGACGACCAATCAATAATCACAATCCACATACGAATCCATGAGGTATCCACTGTACTTTGAGATCCCATTTTCAACCACCTCGAAAATGAATTCTTGTACTGTACAATGATTTCCATACAAAATAGTCAATACAACGAACGAATCGATCAATCAATGTGGCGAATCCGCATTTCCCAAAAGGCCAAAGAATTAGGATAATGATATTCTTGTGTTTATTCTAAACTGGTCAATTCTGAACTGGAGCGACGTGGAGAATACGTCGACACAACCAAAGAATAAATGTACACAAGAATCCTCAGCAGAAGGAATTATGAGCCAATCAGATTGCAGGAAACAACCATCAAAACAACAACGTCAAATTAGTGTGTGCCTTCAATTCGTGTGAATACATACATAAATACAAACAATCACCACAGGACAATTTACATACGAAACACTTAAGGAAAACGAAAATCCATCGAGTTGGCAAATCACCCCAAAAGTCAGCCAAATGGTTTTGGGGGTACAAAACATAAAACCAATACTATTGTATTATTGAAATCAAATCGATTCGAAACTAGAACAGAATCATCATCGAATGTCTTGGGAGAATCGATTAAAGAATCGCCAGAGCCAATCAAATCATCACGTCGAATCTATTCTGCCAATCCAAACGTTTGTCCGCATGATTGGGCAAAACCATATATATATATATATGGTTTTGCCCAATCATATATATATATACAACGACTAGTAGTATATATACGCATGATTGGGCAAAACCATATATATATATATACTACTAGTCGTTGTAATGTATCGTATGTGTAAGATTAAATAGGACAAAATCGATTCGAAAGCTATTTGGCGAAAGGACTCAAATTTGGGTCAAATAACAATGCACTATATTGTCGATTTGATACAAATTTGGGGAGGGGGTGCAATCAAATCGCGCAAACCGATCCACAATCAATCTGATTGGTTGAATTTTATTGATAAATGGGTTTTGATTGGCTAATAATTTTGAGCTCGTCTGAGGTAGCCAATCAAATCGATTTAAATTCCAACGAGAAACCACAACACAATGAAATTTGCACAATACCTTCAATCGCAATTGTGCCCGTGACCATGCCTGACATGAGCGCGAGACTCATCTTGGCCACGAAAAAGTATCGATTTTCAAACGTGTATTGGTCATACAACGTCCCAAATCGTTTGTGGATCGACTTGTCAAAGTGCGCGGCGGTGCCAATGTCTTTAATGTCGGCTTCATTTTTGCGCACAATATGCAGCCCATACAAGATAATACCGAGCGCCAACACCAGCAACGTCGACAGCGCCACAAACAGTTCGGCAGTTAATTTCGCGCCTCGGGTGTTCTTTAACGTCATGCAAATCTGAAACATGCACACCATGCCCAATGCGTACTGCGAGATCACGGCCACGAGTACCAACGCGCCAATCTACATTTAATATATCACAAAACATATATTTATATATATTCGTTGCTATAGATAGGACAAACACATATTGTTATAAACTGGAGAATTGAGCAGCCAATCCGATTGCAGGAAAAAAACAAACAACCACCGTCATCAACAACGTCAAATATATTCGTGTGCGACCTTTAATTAGTGTGTGAATACATATAGGACCACCCTTTTATTTTCATATACAAAATTCAGTACAAAGCAAACTGGTCGATCGATCGAGTTGGCGAGTATTCAAAAGTCGTCCGCCATATATCGTGATGTCGAGTGAAATTTCAATGTGGTTTCTCGTTGGAATATAAATCGATTTGATTGGCTACTTTAGGTATGAGCTCACAAACTTATTTTAGCCAATCAAAACCTCCTCAATGAAAACAATTCAACAACCAATCAGATTATCGATTATTGTGGATCGGTTTGGTCGATTGCACCCGAAATTTGTATATCAAATCGACAATAGTAAACGACAGTATAATGAGTACCGCGCGATCAAGGCAGTCGATTCGATACGCTGCCTTGTCCTTGACACAACTCAAGCTGCCGCCCACGAGTAATGCGAGAATGAGAAGGACGCCGACGGCACCCAACACGGACGCCACGCCAGCCAACGTCACGTACATGAGCATGTGCGGCTTGATGCCGAGTCGACTCGTGTATTCAAACATCCCGCCGCTGCTCTCGTCCCGCGCGCCGCGGTACTCGTCCACAAGGACGCGGACCTTGGATGACGATATCGACTTGTCGTCGCCAAATGAAAACCACGTAAATGTACTAAATGACATTTGCGTCGCGATGAGCCGCAACGTGTTGGACGCGCCTACATATTATCAAGTGGCTTTTAACAATATCGACAGAAAAAGAAAGCAGCCAATCAGATCATGCCATTAAAATCACCAGTTTACCCAATGTCACATAATGCAGTTGACATCATTGACATCACCGGTTCAGCCAATCAGATAATGCAGTTGAAGTCACTGGTATATCCAATCAGATTGAAGTTGAAGTCACCGATTTACCCAATCAGATTGAAGTTGACATCACCGGTTCAGCCAATCAGATAATGCAGTTGAAGTCACTGGTATATCCAATCAGATTGAAGTTGAAGTCACCGATTTACCCAATCAGATTGAAGTTGAAGTCACCGGTTTATCCAATCAGAAAATGCAGTTGACACCACCGATTTATCCAATCAGATAATGCAGTTGAAATCACCGGTTCAGCCAATCAGATAATGCAGTTGGAATCACCAATCTCCACCGCTGGCCATGTTATTTTTATATACTAAGCATTCACGACAATCCAGAATCGATCCGTGATGAATTTGATAGATCTGTACTTGAGCCCAAAAGTCCCAAATATAGGAGTAAACGGGCAATCGCCATGGAATACCACGTCAACTACTAGTCAACATTCCTATGGTCGACCAATCAAAACATAGAACACGAATCCAGTGGCCAATCAAATCCTCGCTTCAACACCGAATTCAACTGGTCCATTGTTTTACATACAAAATTGTCAGTCCAAACACACTCGATCGATCGATGTGGCGATATAATCCGCACACAAATCCCAATGTATTTATTTTCTTGTTGGCCAATAAAAGTAAACACAACGTCGTAGTACCTGGCAGACTCAGGGCCCCCGTGCATACAGCAAACTGGGCAATATCCAATGTAGTGCTCGCGGTACTGGCGCTACCTGCCGTGGACACGCCAGCGGCCGCGGCGGAAGCGGATGAACTCACGACGCCCACGGATGATGCAATCGCCATCGTGGTTGTAGCCGCGATTGTCGTATATGTGACAGAGGTGCTCACACTGGACGTAACTTGTCCGGCGTAATCAAGGTTTGTCTTTTTGGTGCCGTCCGACCAGACGTCGTTGGCCGAGATGCCGGGGGAGGTGGAGCCACCGCCGCCATTTGCCGGGGATGTGCTGCTGTTACCCGCAGAAGTTGAATTACTAGTCACGATGTTGGCCGCAGGACATTGGCAGAGGGAGTACTTTTCACACGAAAACTTGGCTTCAAATGCTGACGTTGGCACGGCACGGAGGACGGGCGGGAGGGTAGCCGCCGGCGACCCGGTAAACCAATCGCTGAATGTCATCGAGCTGTAGATGGAGCTGTCAATACCAAGCGAATCGTCATAGTCCCATTCCTTGTCGATGCATGCGGGGATAAAGCAACTCGAAAAGCACGTAGCGCCGCCGCCAGTGGACGAGTTGGGTAAGGCCAACGTGCCTCGATACACCATGCAGTCATGACCCATCGCTTTCGCCACGTCCAACGCGACGCCGCCGCATGTAAGGCCCTTCTTGGCCCAGAGTCCGTAGAACGTTTCGTCGCATTCCACCATGTCGAAGATCGTGGCAGGCGTCGTGGAAGTGGTGGTGTTAGTGGCATTGGCGCCGCCACTTGTAGCCGATGGAACGGGGGAGGTGGTGGTGGTTGTCCGGCCAGGTACTGCAGTGGCTGCTGGCGTGGATGTGGTTGAAGTATTGGCCGACACGAGCGGTGTTGTCAGCGGCGTCGGCGTAGTTGAAGGGATGGCGACTTGAAGACGTCGCTTAGATTCTGTGCTGCCGATGCTGGTCGTGTTGGTAGGAGCAGGTGTCGTGGTGGCCGAAGGTGTTGTCGCTGATTGTGTCGTGGTGGGGGTCGCAGTTGTGGACGTGATCGTTGTAACGGGCGACGGGGTGGGGGTTTTGTCAGGATTCACCGTCGTGGCAGTCGGCGATGCAGTAGTGGTGGTCGTCGTTCCTGGGATGACGGTTGTGGTCGTGTCGAGCGGAGGAGTCGTGAGGGGCCCCGTCGGGTCTGTGCCGTTGGTGGTATTCCCTCGTGCGGTGGTCACTGGCGTGGCAGTGGTAGCCAGTGGCGCTTGCGTAGGGTTCGCCACATTCGCGACGTTCACGGAGAAGCGGCATGTTTGAGCTGCGTCGGTTGCATGCAGCAACGCGAGAAGCAGAAGAGGTAGCACGACTCGCATGATGCTTGCCGAATGTGCGCAACATGTGTAGACATGCTGGGCTGTCATACGGATAAGTTGGCGGCAATAAACGTGCTTGTTAGTCACTATTTAACGTGTCGGTGGCCGACCTGATTGGCTGGCTAGGACATGCGTTAAAAGTTTCTTTCTCCAAAAATACATCCGGATCGTCACGGGACAGATGTTATGCGCGTATTGTCAGTGGACTCCCTCGCTTGAATGCCTTTTCTCTATAATTAGTTGAGCAATTACTCAACAGGGTTTTGAATGGTCGTTAAATCCAGGTCATTCAGCCATATCAACATCTCTGGAGAAGTAACTAGAATAATACTACGTAGTTGACCGTTCACACACGAACGTTATACTGGCAGAGAACTGTACTGTATTCCGGCCCCTTATTACACAAATACACTGAAAATGGGAGCGGAATTATTTTGGCCATGTTTCACGATATTCCGAGCTTCTGATTGGTTCATACCCAAATTCTCCGGATAACTTAATCCTGCACGCTTTCCGGCTGGGAGTACAGGAAAACAGGCCGTAAATTCCATTGCGATCCACATATAAAATTGCTGACTCCTTTCTTCCTTTATTACCAAATCGCTCGTTGGACACACTGATGATTCAACGTTATTTGCAGGGTTAAACCGGGTATACCACCGTCTGTGGGATAAGATGTGAAATTTACAGTGTTAATTCCTCAAATTTCCTTCAAATTTCCCAATTCTGCACGAACCTCGCCCTGAACCTCGCTGCGACATTTCTAAGAATCCACAGAATGGGCATAGAAAACAGAATGAATATTTTAGCCAATCAGCGACAAGAAATTTCAGATTAACCAATCAATTGTCGCAGTGCGGATAACGCGATTCCGAACTCATACCAAATCTAACTGTAAACCTACAATTTTATAGAATTTTCCTATCCCCAATTTTATAGAATTTTCCTATCCCGAGTAATTAGAACGAACTCGATGGAGCTGATACCTATTGTCGCACTGTTACACGATCGGATTAAGCTTAGATCGGTCGGATTAATCTTAGCTCTTCACCTGGTTGACAGAAACGTTCATCTTAACACTAGCATCTTGGCTGGTGATTCAGTCGTCAACCTTTGCTCGATGGAAGCGCATTTTCTTCGAAACAAGAAATCCGTTTCATTATTTTCGCCATGGCGTGAATATATTTTTATAAATTAGCCACCAAAACGTTGTTAGCGTTTACTAACTGTAATTATGTGAAGATATATTTGGAAGCAAATACTAGTAGTCATATAATACAGAATTCATAAGGTGAAAGTTAGTAGGTTCGCAAGGTGAGATACCTTACGAATTCAATAAATCAATCTGAAATATATCAAATTTTATTGAAAGAAATTTGTAGAATACTACGTAGTATATTTTTAAATTCATTTACGGTTAAACGCAGGCTACTAGGTACTTCGAAAGATTTATATGGATTTCAAATATCCGTGATAGTATCATGTGTCATCCAAACGTCATCCACCATTAATATTAGGTCATATCCTAATTAGTATAGGTGAGAGTAAATTAGGATAATGCTAGGTCATTGCATACAGGCCTCGTCCGGGAGCGGCACGGCCTACAGTACGGCCTACCTGCCGCTGCCCGACAAGAAGAAAAGATAGATCATTCGGTGAAGTGAGAAGCTTAGATCCGCGCTCTCGTACGGCCGCGCTTGCGCAGACGGCCTCCCGGGCGCTCGGGGCCAACGTAAGCTTGGTCACTACTTTAGGTTTCATCCCACAACTTCATCCAATGCACGGCAAACCACTCCGAAATCTGTCTATTACGCATTAGTTGGCATGTTGCGAAACAATTACCAACACTCCTAAATAGTGTCAATACATTGTTGTAAGAGAGAATGATGGTCACGAAACAATCCCGAAA